ATGTCCACTAAGAGACAGTAAGAGGTTAATTATTTACTGTTTGTATGCGGGTGCGATCCAGTAAGGGTTCTCTGATGCCTCCTTGGCATGACGCAGAATGGCTTCTCTTGGATTACTGTCGTCCGTTTTATCCAAAGCGATGTTCTTTACGATAAACGAAGACAGCGTGCCCCCGTGAGCAGCTACTCTACCTCCTCGACCTGTAAGGACACAGAGATGAGTGAAATAAAGATTATTTTATGATGCATGTTCATGGAAGGCAGCTCATAGACATCCTGCTTATGATCGGCCTGGAGAAGCCGACTACTGAAGCTGACATGACTTTGAGCTACTGATTTTGGTTTGGATCCAGATTTCATCTGCTATAATCTCTAGCAATGCACAGACGGTGGTATGACCTTGCATCGTAGATCCGTATGTAGCAGATGTGTTGGTAAGTTATTTTTACCAGTAGTGAAAGTATCAGCATGTAGACAAATCAAGCTGGGAGATCCAGCTGTCGCTACCAAGCTGTTGTTTCTGAGCTTTTCAAACATTACCTTAGCGTTTATGCAAAGTCAGGTCACACACAAGATAAATACTATAATAGAAGTCTGTAATCTGAGCGCCACGAGTCCACCCATCACCAAGTGAGTCTCCTTTTCACCTAGATTTAAATGCTGGATCATTCTCTAAATCTCAGTAATAGGTTTGTTTTATTTAGGAAAAAAAGTGTACAAATGTGTACCTGGCAAAAACCTGAGATAATGAAATGTGGAAACCATGAAATTAGTCTATTTGCTCAAAAAACTTACAGCTCCACTGAAAAAAAGAATGAAAAGGATCAGCAGATGGATCGGGTCTTTAATCCAACTCTGCAAAAACGATCTAGAAGCATGTAAAAAATTGAGATGAAAATGATAAAACTAAGATGATTTACCATTGGAATTAATATTTTTATACTTAAATTAAGATAATAATATAAAATACACATGGAATAAGAAAATGCAATTCTTTTTTCTTATTTTAAATGTAAATTGTCTTGTTCCATTGAGGAACTGTCTCACTTGCCTCCTCAATTCAAGACAAAATGTGCTTATTTTAAGAAAAAAAAAAAAATCACCTATAAAAATTTAATTTTGTTGCAGTGGAGGAGAGGTAGTGAAGATATAGCTGAGCCAAAAAGTAAAACTCTTAATTTTTCAGTCCACTTATGATGCTAGCTGCTGTAACTGACTTCCACTATAGTTTGGGTGGGCTTGGACCTAAAGTGAGGTGAGGAGATCCTTCACCCAAGGGAACCTTCTAGTACTGCTGCTCATTATTAGAGGGAGTAAATTATGGCAGTTTGAGCATCTAACCAGGAAGCCCCTTGGTAAGCCTTGATATCAAGCCACATCGTGTCTGGAGGAGCCTCCAGGCCAACCTAGGACTTGCTGGAGGAGTCATGCATGTATTCTCATCTTTGAACGCTGTGGGAGATCTTAGAACAACAGGAAAGTGTGGCCCTAATGTGGGAAATCAGTTTTTTCTCCTCATCCCACAAAACTGATTTACATTCATGTCAAAGTCATTTTAAGAGTGGCTTCATTGAATGTCGAATACAGACAGCCAACAAATATTTCTTGCTATAAGTGATTTCTCCTTCAGCTATAAAGTGAACATTGTCACCCCTAAGAAACTATCAACTACAGTTAATGCAAACTGTTAATTTAACCACCTTTCATCCATTAAATGTGTTTACCTCATTTTTTTATTGGATATCTGATATTTAAGCATTTACAGCTTACATTCCTCTGAATATGCTGCCAGAGTAGAAAAATCAAAAAAATATTTCACAGCTTTGCACCAATGCGCCAGCTGGGTTACAGGGAAATGTTGTCTGCGGTTAATTAGAGCTCAAAACCATTGTTTTCAAAATAAAGATTCTTAATATTTTTTATATATTTAATATTCAACTATATATATATATATATATATATATATATATATATATATATATATATATATATATATATATATATATATATATATATATTTATATTGTGTTATACATGTCATTGATGCTTGTATTGCTTCATCATGTGGTAGCAGTTAAAAAAAAAAGGCTTAAATCCAGACATGGTGGGTCTCTACATAGGATAGACTTCACAGTGAGGTTTTAAACCAACTGTAGACTCACACATCTGCAGAAAACAAGTAGATTATCTGTTCAGTTTTAAAGCAGGTGGCTTCATATGCTTGAAAACAGCTGCAAACTGAAGCTGTACCTCACTGCTTGTATTTCTCAGCTCCTCATTCTCCTTTTTTTGGTCGTTTTGTCAGTTTTGTTCTATAAAACACCTGAAATCTATAAATATGTTACCAGGTCCGGAAACAGGAGGCTCCGGTTTGTGGGATTTCTTAGGGTCCAGTCTATCTTTCTCCAGCTGTTTCCGTGTACTCCGCTGCCGGGCCTCTCTGAACATGGGCAGAGCATGAGCTGAAAAGAGTAAACAAACAAACAGACATGACTCTTATTCTATGGCTTCCTTCTGCTGAACATTTACACCCCCCATATTCAATATGTCTGACCGCTGTTCATCTTTACTCTTTGGTTAGAACCGCTATAACTGACACCCAGGAGGTAATGGGGGAATGGGATCAAGTGTGAATGAGTGCACACAGAGTAGAATCAGACAGACGCTACCTGAGCGTGTGGGCGACAGAGCATCTGTTGTAGAAAGTGTGTATGCTCTGCTCTCATCCTCGGGGGTTACAAGGAGACACTTAAGTGAAGAGGTAGATAAAGTGATTTTCCATTCAGGAGATCTGTCGCCGTTCAGTGGTCATTCTTCTCCTCCATGCTACATTTAGCAAAAAGGTTACTGTTAACAGATTCCCTCGCTTTTCTCAATGGGCCATCACTTGCTTCCTGTCCCGTCTAATTTTCCAGTGCCAAGGCATCAAGTGCGTCACTCACCACTTGGAGCAGCGCAATGCTTGGCTATTTCACACCCTGTTGGCATGACGATGAGCTCACATGATGCGTCTGAAAAGGCTGAAGCAGGCCAATAGGTAAATGTTGTTGTGGGTGGGGGGGATAGATGGGAGCCACGCACAGAGAAGATGACAGCCTCATGTGTTAGCCTCACGATTGCTGGAGGGGGCAGTTTTAGGTGAGTGTGGCGACACCAGAAGATCACGCCAGCAAGGGCAGGAGAGGAGGTCATTCCTCTCGTGATTCCTGCGTGACAGGAAAGTACATGGCGGTCGCGTGGCTATTGGTTCAATAATCCACTCCCAAATCCATCTGCTAATGGAAAGGGGGAACATCCAGAGCAAGCTGTTGTTCCATCCAAAAACGCCTGCAGCATCGGATGGAGTCTGAATATATATCCTAGTTTGTGATCCAGCAGCAGGCCAGCTTGAGAAGAAACAGGCTCCTCTTGTCAAATCTTTAAAAAAGGTTTGTCAAAGTGTTTACATTTACAGTAGCCCCATCATAGGAGGGCCAGACTGCTCTGCAGAGAGGTTAGGGACTCCGTGAAGCAGAGCTTTAAAAGATGCACAAGAATCTAAGAGAAGCTAGAAATGTGTTTTATTTTATTTTTTTGCAAGGTATGTGTGAAACAACTTTTTTGTCTTTTGAATTTGTCCCATACAGACACTGAAGGACTTACGTGTGATGATGTAATCCTGCGTTAGTGTCTCTGCGTGTTTCTCTTTCCGTTTGTTCTTCACTACACACAGCTTGGCCCCTCTGGAAAAAAAAAAATTATGAGCAAAACAGCTGAGAGGCGATTTACAACAAAGCGAATAACAGTTACTGTTTTAATCACTTGTTGCAGCAACATCTTATTTCTACCATTAAACAATACAAAGGCGTTAAAATGACCTTAACATGTTTCTAAAAAATACATGAAGCAGAGTTGATTTAGTCAGTTTTGTCTTCAGTTGCATGTCTATATAATTAAATGCGTATTTTTTTTAAAAAGGTAACTACTTATTAATAATTTGCCAAAATCTATCTTTTCCAGGTTTGATTTTCCTACATTTTGATGGCTTTTAATGACAATATAGTCCATTTGAGTAAAATCCCTCTTAGGGTTTTATTTTCAGAAATCACCAAAATGCTGAAGCAGGGAGCCAAAGGGGCATATTAACCTGCTTTTGGTTTCTAGACAAACCAAAATCTATTAATATCTATAATAGCTGTACTGGATGATCCTCTGTTAAATGAAGATCTTGAATCACACCTTTTATTTTTTTTTTTGTTCTACCTTAATTACCTAAAATCCCTCAAAATTATTATTGCACTCTTTTCATAAACTGAATTAAGTTAGAAAAAAAACCTTCTGTTTTATACCCTGAAGAGAAAGGGTTCACACATAAAAGCCCTAAACTGCTCCTTTGTGACCTTTTACTGGTGTAACTCAAGAACTAAAACATTCATTTTATAACTTTATATTGATGACAACCTTTATTTTTTTTAAGTTAAGCATCATTGTCTCGGAAAGTCCAACTTTGAAACTGGACAAAATATCAAGTCTGTAAACTTCAACTTTTTTCCTGATATCAGTTTCATTTTTCCTGACTTGGGACATCATTAAGCTTCTACTGCTTTCAAGTGTTTGGCATCACAAGATCAATGAAGTAGAAATAAAAGTATTGCTAGTAAAATCTGGAATAATTAATTTAAGAGTATAGATTCCTACTTTAACGATGTGTATACATTTCGAATGTGAGCCAGACAACATGATACAATGGCGCACTTGCTGCTGTGCAACAAAATGAAAATGTGGCCACAATATTTTTGTTAAATATTAACATTTTAATAATTTAGTTATTACGGTAATAACCTTCTTTTGTCATTGTAATTGTATATTCAAATGAAATGTATCACTCAATGATGACATCACTGTAAAGCCATCCATTGTCAGGACTCATCCTAATGTCCAATGGTCATTGGGTGAAGGGCAGGTTGTATCCTGCACAGGTCGCCTAGAGCACAGACAACCATGTAGGCAGATTCTCACACCAGGACTTTAGAGACCAGGTGACCTATGATTAGGGGTGGGTATTGCCAAAGAAGTCACGATTCGATTCGAATCACGATTCACAGGCCACGATGCGATTCTATCACGATGCATCACGATACTTGAATTATTGCGATGCATTGCAGTATTTTATCCTCCATGTTTTGTTTTTGAATGACTCGGCACAGTATCCCGCGGCCGGAAATGCTTGTGACACAAGGCAGCGTGCGTCAACACATTTGCAGCGACATCTACTGGACTGGAAGTTGTATTACACTTGTTTTTGGCTGATGTTCGCCAACCATTCATGCAATTTTATTTATTCATTTTTTGAAATTAATAGTCGATTCTTGGCATCAAGAATCATTGCAGTAGATCACGAAAATTAGAATCACGATGCATCATCATCACGATTATTTTGCACACCCCTACCTATGATCCATGTTTTTTTGACAGTAGGAAGAAGCTAGAGTATCCAGAGACACTCAGACATGGGATCAAACCCTCTTGCTTCGAGCTGTATTACCCGCTCCACCATGCTTTACCTTTGAAATATAACTGCCAACTAATCTATTGCATATTTGCTTCTGTGTTACTAAATACATTTTCTTTGATCATTTGATCATCAGACTGCACTGATTTGCAGATAAAGGACTCAAAAGTTCCTGCAAGCATAGGTTCTTGCCACCGTAAATCTGAGTCTAGGTCTAAGCGATACATACCTGTGACTTTTAACTGGATCGTAGTATACCTTGACCAGGCCGTTCCCAGTACCCGCCATTATTTGATTCAGTTTTGGATGCCACAGGCAGCGAATGACACTCTGGAACAAACACACAAGCAAACAAAACAGTTTGTTTTATTGAAGTTTTTAAGGAGGTTGTATACAAAACCGAAAACCACAGCACGCTATTGGTGATTTGAACTTGAAGGGATCATGTTCCTCCTACTCTGCAAACAGAAGATAACAATCATATTTTATTCCCCAGAGTAGTGAGTGTGTGTAACCCAGGTCAGATGTGTAGGTACAGTGAGCAGAAGTCTCAGTGGGCTTTGCTGCTCTAGTTGACTATATTTGGTTGGTGGGATGAGGGCCGGATCTCTGAGTCTGTGTGTGACAGATGGCCTGGTGCCAATAGGCGAATGCGACCACATTTATCCAGAGATATGTGTGGGCGGGGGTGTGTGTGTGTGAGAGACAGAGGCAGAAAATATAAGCACAGCTGTTAGACAAGGATGAAGATCTTCAGCTCATTTCGATATGAGAGCAGCTTCAGAGCAACAAAACTCCTATAGTAGCGTCCCAATTTTTCACCCCCTTAATGTCCCGATGCTCTGATGGGGGGGGCATCTAGAGCAGTTTTTAGGGGTGGGGGGGTGGGTAAGACCATGCATACAGTGAAAGCTGCTTAACGCCCAGCTGTTCAGCCTCCCACCAGGACACCAGAGGAACGAGCCTCAATCACAGATGCAAAATTAAAAAAATGAAAAAACAAGCAGCAAAGACAGTTACCCATTTTATTCCCTTTGGTGGTTTCAGTAACCTATAGATGTGTAAATCATCTGTTAAGACGGAATACAGTCATTTAAAAAAAGACAGAGGACTTTTTAAAACTCAACGCTCACCTCAAGGATTTAAAATAACTTTCTGTATCTTCCTAATATTTTATTGACATTGAGTCTGTGTTGTGGCTCTTCAGTTTTTTTTTTTTTTTTTTTGGCTAGATTTCAATGATTTTAGGATCTGGCAAAAAACCGATTATTTATACATCAAAGCCTAATCCCAATACGATAGAATTGTAATCACCTAATGTATACACTAATTGTAAGGCTTGCATTGTGAGGATCATCTGTGATTTTGTTAAAACAATAATAGTTTTAGGAAGAACCTTTGAAAGGAAAGTGCAACATACGTCAGTAGATTGCACTTTCTGTAAACTAGTGGAAAAAGAAGTTAAGGAAAAAAACAAATTAAATTGAAAATAAAAATAAGAAGTTTAAGGTCTTAGGTTGGATTGAAATTAGAGAAAACCCAACATGGTTGGATCATCTGAGGAAGCCTGTCTCATCCACAGAGATCCCATCCCACACAACACAGTTTAAATAGCAAACGGTCTGGCAGTTTAGCTAATCCATTTGTCCTTGACAAGTCAGAGGTCATTCATGGAGAAAGCCTTTACTCATAGGATGAATGGTCATAATGTAAGGGTTGATCACTCTATAACAACCCAGACAGGTCAGCAGGTCACAGTGTCATTGGGCTCTGCAGCCAGATGAAGGCTAATCTGCTCAATCAAATCAGTAGATACTGACTGAGAGAACCATCCAGAAAAAAAGCCTAACATTCTCAATAATAAACTAGTAGCTGGTAGCTTAAAACAATATTTTACATCATGCGCTTTTTTTCTTCAAAATATGCATACCATTTTGTCATGTTACAAACACACATTTCTATTTATTTCGTTGGGTAATATACACTTCTGTTTTTCATGAATAAAATTTATTTTTAGGCCAATTTAGGTGGCAAGTGGAATGCCAATTTAAAAAGGGACAGAGGACCTTGTAGCACGAATCCTACATACCTTTAATATGTATTTTGTAGTCAACAACAACTGTTACATACAACAAATCTGTTACATAAACTTTAGCTACTATCAGAGATTTTAGGTTCAGGTCCTATATTCCAATAGTAGTTGATCAGATCAGATTGGGACATCCCTAAAATATATGCCTACAATTGACTTTGAAAGGCTTAAAAAGAGCATGTTATAGGAACTTTAATGCATAGATGCAGAAAGCAGGTAGATTTACAGCAAAGGATCAGAGCAGCAGAAAGGCTGAATATCAATGCAGACACAAGAAAGGTGGACTCTGTTAAAAAAGCTGTGATTTCTGAAGGAGACTGGTTGGACTGGATTGGATTTAGCTGTGTTGAGGTAAAGGTTGTTGATTACTATGCTTTCCTAAATTTTCTTAAAAAACAAAAAGTATAGCATCTCAGTTTCATCAACATGAAAAAAAAGGCTGAAGTTTAAGTTATACGACAACATGTGGAAAAGCTTAAGCAGTATACCATATAATTCTTCATACAGATCTGTTGAATTGATGCAGAACGAGAACATGTATCAGCAAGTAAGAAAGCATTATGAGTCACATTATGTGAGTGCTCCACTGAAAATGTGTAATGGGTTATAAATTGGCCTGTCAGGAATGCTACACCGACAGTGGCAGTCGCTCCTATTCCAGAACAAAGCCTGAGATATGGTTACACTCCAACGGTACCATCAAACCATCCAGGTTAACAGCTCACGCAGTTTAGCCTGTAGTAATCGTAAATCCCAAATATCCAGCCAGGTACCGTAAACTCAGGCCGTTTAGGTTCCCTGAACGGTCTCTCAGACCCAAACAAATCACTCTGTCAACACTAGAACAAGATTCACAGAAACAGGACTGCAACAGCCCAGCTGACTGAGGCCCACGCCACAACTGTGTACATACAAAACACACAGACACACACACACACAAAAAAAAAGGACGGCTGCCAAATCGGTCCAGTTTAATTGTTGGACTTTTTTTTTTTTTCCCAGAAATTCGGAGAAGCCTGTTTATACTCCAAGAATCCCTGTTTACACATTGTGTCCGCAGAGTTGCATCATGGGAGAAGAAGCTTTAATCAGTCTATTCTCCAGGAGCGAGATGTCTCACCAGAATAAAACACCAAAGGACTGAACAAAGATGAATGAGTTAACAGCCACTTTCACAACATGTATGCTAATTATGAAATAAAACTGGGCAGCAGTAATGAGAGCTGACAGTAAACTGCTATCCTTGTTCAGCACTGGTTGGAGGCCAATCTAAAGCTGCAGCAGAAGGGAAAACCAAATGTTTACCCTTCTAAGCCCCATGCAGTGAGAGCTACTGTCCATAAAGGCAGAAACTGTGCAACTCAAATTCGAAACATCATAGAACGGCCGAGCTGAGCCTTTCTGTCTGCCTTACATGCTTTTTAATGCCTTTGGCAGAGGAAAGGCTCTTCTATAAAAATAAGGAGGTACGGAGTAACTCATCAAAGAAGTAAGAGCTGCACAGCAAACAGGGCTCATCTACATAAACATACATAAGTGGAGTCAATATTTAACTGTATTTGGAGGATTTGTACAGCTCATAAAGACAAATGTCTATGGGCTGAGCAGGTTTTTGTTATATCTCCATCTAAATGTTGCTTGATGTTTTTTCTGGTTCCTGAAGCTCTTACGACGGAAAAAGCTTAAGCATGTCTGATATATTTACTAAACAGGCCTGGAAGGACAGCCCAGAATCCAGGTCTGGGGTTGTATAGACTGTTTAGTTAAAAATGATTGGTGGTCTGTCCTTTCACTCGCCCGCCTGGTGAGACCCTTTATTACTGCTGCACTTAAATTCCTGGGCCCTGTGAGTGACAGTCGGCCCATGTAAACATGCAGTGAAACAGCGCTAAGATGAGGGCATGAAGGGGAAGATGATCAGAGAGGACCACCTTATATTTCTAATAAAAAGTAATACATTGATGCAGGAATCCGGGTAAGGTAATTACCTGGGTGGTCACCGTATGAAACACATTTAAAGTTAACCTTAGTGCTCCATTTTGATAGGATAAATTTGACAACCTGCATGCCTAATATATTTGTAAACAATAAGAATACAATAATCTTTCTAGGGAAGATTAAAATACTCTAATTATTAATTAATAAACAACAATCTGCAAAGTGGCTGCAAGTTTTATCATGTTGAAAGGGATAGCAAATAATTCAAAGAGGGCACATGCAAGACGGTGCAGAAACCAGGCATATCTCCCCCCTTGTTTGTTCATTGAGGTGGATTTTGTGTGGAGAGTCTGCAGAAGTTGATAACAACACAGATGTTAAACGGAAGGTATAAAATTCCTTTATGAAAAAACTGAGCTAAAGCTTGGGGAATTTCTTACACTACCAGACAGTGGAACAAGCGAAAGGGCAATGGAAAAATCACTTCCAAATGTTTACCCTCCCCTCAGCAGGGTGAAAGGGAAGACAAACGTCCACAGAGTGATGCAAGGGAGCAGAGTTGTGGCGTTCTAAATACACTCTTTGACCCACAGCGTGTGTCCTTTGTCTGGGACTTCCTAGACCAAATGTGGCTGCAAACAGACTCTGTCAAGAACATAAACCAAGAGTAACTGCTTGGTCAAAGGATTTCCATATATGCATGGAATACGGGGTTTGCAGTAAAACAACACAATGTTCTTATTATTTTGGACTGAGACAATTGGGACCACTTAACAAAAACAGAGAGTTCTTTAACCAAACGCTTTCAGAAGATCAACACCTTCTAAGAATGGACGGGAGCCCCGACTAAGAGACAATGAAAACTCAGGCTTCATTTCGAGTGGAAGTCAAACAAACAATCCTGGAACAAATTATTGCAAGACAGATTAGCTGCCTCAGCAAATGCACTTCTTCTTAGCATCTGTGTTGATGGTTGGAGCTGCTATTTTCAGTAATTTTCGTCATCAGAAGAAATAACAGGGAATGGAGTACAGTCTGTTCAGTCTAATATCGTCAGAGAACTGTGCTGGAAAAAAAAAAGTGGCTCTAACAGTAAAGGCAGATCTTTAAGCCAATGTTAAACTTTGAGTATTTTATTTGTTTTGACAGCCAGAGTGCTAAATAACTGCATCAAATATGTGGCTTTGCATGCATTTGTTTGGCGTGAATAGCATGTTAGGCTTTAAAAACTCCTTGAATTTGTTTATTCAAGTAGTCTGAGTTAATATAGAAGGCATTACCCCCAGTAAAACCTTTTTGTTTTGACTACAGAAAGATCAGAGGCAGGATGCAACAGAACACATGTTTCTATAGCAGGCAGCAGCTCAGCACTCCAGTTTAACACCTATGGTTGGCTGCCTCCATGAAATACGTTTCTCAGAAAGCAGGATTAGCTCAAAGCACACCATTTGCTACTGTGAATAGAACATACTGATTGTTACCACAGATAATTGAATCGTAGATACCAGTCAGCACGTTTAAGAGCTTCACAACTGTCCTGCCAGCAGTTTGTGGGAGAGAAATAAAGAAGGGATCACATTCCACCGTTTTCTTCAGCTCGCCTCTGGCCATTCTGCAAGATGTTCTGCCTTTTGCTTAAATTTTCCCCAAATGCTTCGAGACTTTTTTTAAATGTGAAAATGGAGTAAAATTAAATTTGCTACTAAAATACAACCAGATTCTGATATATAATTGTATAAGGATAGATATTTTGTTACAGACAAGTAAAAAAAACTGAAAGAAGAAAAAAAAAGAAACAAAAAACTATTTTTTTTTTCTTTTTTTAGGCAGAAGAACTTATGGCTTTAAAATATGTTTAGAAGGAAATGGCCGTACTACCAAATTATAGTATTTCTATGCTTTAAGCTCTTATTTGTGTGATTGGAGTTAATTATGTACAACAAATCTAGTCCTCTTGCTTATGAAAAAAGAAAAAAATCCAAACATTTTTAATAGATACATTTTTGAAGCGTGTGTCCAAAAAGGGTTAAACCATCTAAATATAATGTAGGTCTTTGCTCATTTTGTTTAGGTGTTCAGTATCAATGCTGCAAAGAAATGCTTAGACTACATCTTGTGTTATGTTTCTCAATATTTAAATGCAATGCAACTGTTGAAAACTGCGGTAACTCTGATTACGACTAATGTTGGTTTTTAAATGTCTCCATCAATCTCCTGCCTCTCAGCCTCTCAATATACACATCAGATGTACTATCATTATTAATATCATAATTTACTGATATGCGCAACATGAATGCCCAACATTCTTTTTATAATTTCTAACCAAATATTGGATCCATGCAGTCATTTGTGATTTTGGTTTTGCACACACAGACTTCTAAAACAAGTGTGATTTGATGCATCGTTCTTTTCCTTTTCCAGCTTTTATTGTCATTACACTGTCATAAGTAAAGACAGCAAAGACTTATGATATTGTCATTGTCATAAGTAAAGAAAACAAAATTAACTCTGCATTTAAGCCATCCCATTGGGGAGCAGCGGGCTGCCATTGTGCGGCACCCGGGGAGCAGTGAGGGGCTTAAGGGTCTTTGCCTTAACCATTAAGTTGTAATAATCTTTGCATTTACCAATCACCTGCTGGATAACAGCTTTGGTGCCTTGAACAATGAGAACCAATTTGATCTTGTGTGAAAGAGGAGTATCACAATTAGCCAAATTTGTATTTTCCAAATGCTTTTTTGAGGATAAGCCACAGCGTCACCATGTGTCCAACGTTCACATATTATTACAACCTGCAATCACTTTAACCCACACTGCTCCACCTGAACAATACATTGATCATCACCCTTTTGTGAAAACCGATTCATTTTCAAGCCGCCTTTTTATTCACAGAAATCTTCTTGGGTAAAATTGTGAGTAAGCGAACTCATTTCAAAAGCAGGCCCACACATGGACTGCAGTGGGAAACTTCCTTGTTGGCAAAACACAGGACTCATGGTAGCACTCAACTTTACTACACAAGTGATTCTCCAGATGTCCCAACAATAGGAAGGATGATTCCTCAGAGAAAGCCCAGTCCCCTGCTGTCTGTCCTCGCACTTCCTGCAAATTTCAGTCAAGATTTTCTTTTGAGAGGTGGGTAACAACTACTTTCCTTTTAGGAACAACATCCATTTAGCATTAGCTCCCATGTTTGTTCTTTTACTAGAGCAATATTTTAAAGTTACTCTTCTGCTTACAAGTCTGTAGCTCAAATGTTTTACCTCTCTTTGAGTCTAGATGTACTCAATTCTGTCTGCTGCCAGCCTAAGAGAACTTTTACCAGAAGCAACACTAACCCCCAATTAGCTTTTCTATACACCAGATTCATATGAAATATTCGGAGCTTCTGTCTTACATGAGAGGCCATTTGAGCTGTTTAGACCGTTATGCTGATTTCAGATCAACTTTTTCAGAAGCTTCTCCCGAGCATATAACTATTTAATAAAATATATACAATAAAATTCAATTAGATAATTATTTTTGTTCCAGGTTCAATATTCAATGATAAGAGATTCAGAAACTCAAAATGTTTTTCAAGCCAATGACACTCTCTGCAACCCATCAACATGCAACTCACGATTCTGCTCTATAAACTGAAACAATGTGAGAAAAGTTTTAAAAAATCTAACATTTGTGTAACTGCAATATCTTTTGGGTTATGACTGTACAGAGTTAGCCATCATATTCCAAGGGTAGCTTTTACACAACAGCAAGCTACAAAGGTTTATAGAGGCTGGTGACAAAGCAACATGACAAGTCGTCTTCTACCAATCACCAACTACAGAAAATCGAAAGATAAATAATAACTTCAATCATAGTAATTGCAATTTCCTTACAGCTGATTGCAGGTTCTTTACTTGTTAATGTCTTATACTTCTACAGACCTCTTAGATCTTTTTACGCTCAAATACCAAAGACAAATGCTCTGAATATATTTCTGTCAGATATGTGTACAGAGACAACAGTCTATGTACTTTTAGTAAAAACCAGAAACTGGTAATAAAGAGGGAAACACAGAGGGAAACACAGAAGGAAAGAAGGTTAAACTGGAGGAAAAGGAGGAAAGGACAGAGAGGAGAGATGAGGAGGGAAGAAGGATACAATGAAGGAAAAAAGATCAAACTTAGGGAATGATGAAAGTAAAGGAAAGTGAAAGTAAAGAAGGGAAATAAAATGGAGGAAGTAAGGACACAAGTAAGGAATAATGGAATGTACAAGGAAGAAATAGGAGAAGGAAGGAAGGAAGGAAGGAAGGAAGGAAGGAAGGAAGGAAGGAAGGAAGGAAGGAAGGAAGGAAGGAAGGAAGGAAGGAAGCAAGGAAGGAAGGAAGCAAGGAAGGAAGGAATTATTTTCATACCCTTTTCATTTTCTCTGTACTTATTCACACCTGGAGTCAAATTTCAGACTTTTTCAGACTCTACAGGAAGCATGTTAGTACTAGTCCAATGAAACATCAGCCCTGACTAATAAAATTATAGCCAAACATAATTACAAGAGATCTTTAAGTTGATTTTCAAAGGTCTTTAAATACTTTCAGTGCCATTCAGACCAGAATAAAACTTGTTAAAATTGTGGAGAAAGGGTCATAATATCCCTTAAAGCTAAACCCTGATACTAATCCTGGTGACTTTATTTCAGAACATGTCAATCAAGATTAGCTTATTTCTCTTCTTGCTTAATTTTCTTTGCAACCAGGCAAAGCAGGATAAAAACCTCTGACGCGAGTGACAGTAGCTGCAGAACTTACTGCGTTGGTGACTTCAATTTCATAGACCTTCTGAAAAGAAGCTCTGTCAAAGAAAACCAGCTTTCCATTTCCCTCCTCCTTCTTCACGGAGGTCCCTGTCACAACAAGTCTGTCATCAGGGCTGAAACAGCAATCCGTCCTGGAAGGCAAAATGACACAAAGATATTTATAAATCATAGCAAGAATTAAAAACAAGTAGTCTATAAAAAATTAAAACTGAGATGTCTCACATGGAGAAGTAGTTGGTCAGTCTGTTTGCTTCATTCACAGGCTTTCTAAAGTTACGTATATCCCAGATCTTTAGTGTGTCATCACCTGAAAATAAAAAAAAAACATCAAAGGAATTAGTTATTATGGGAGTGTCACAGATATATAGTTATTCCTTATTCATATTGCATAATCACATTGAAAGACATACTCCACTTTCCTTGGAACTCCTTGTTGCTTTTTATTTTGTTTATATTTGTATTAGCAACCTCTTAATGAGAATATAAACTAAACATCTAAGTTGTTTAATGTTTATTTAGAGGGTCAATGTTTATTTGTGTACTAAGGAAGGAAAAATCATTTAATTTGCCTCCAATCCATTGTTTTTACGAATTAGTAATTGCAGATAAAACCTGGATGTTCTGATTCCAGAGTGTGCAGCTTCAAAATGCACCCATGCCAGTCTTTTTCTTACCTCCACGGGAAGCAAGGGTGACGCCATCGTATGAAAAGCAAAGGCTGGAGGTGTCTGATCCTGGAGTGTGGGCTTGCCGACAGTGGAACTTTGTGTGAACCTAAGTTTAAAAAAAAAAAATATATATATATTTTATTCACATTGTTTATTACTTGTAATAATGGTTTTTGTAATGAGTCAGTAGTAATGGTTCCGACACAGCTCCTTTGTAAATGTGTGTTAAAGAGAAACCATTTTTACAATCTCTTATTATAGGAAACAGCCTGCCCTCTGATTTAATAGTAGATGTTTAGGTTTGTCACTACAGTAACAGAAAACCGTTTCCTCCCTCTGCGTCTTCAAAACAACACATGGTTTTCATCACTATCATGAACAGCAAACTATACATCCATGAAGCCCACCATAACCTATGAAACACAAGCAGGTTAACACACTGTAGCAACGCCACAGACATTTACCTTGGCAAACTCCATCCTTCCTGCCTAACAGATGGTATTTGGAGGTTGATTTTTTTGTTTTTTACATGAAATTCAATTATACTGTTTTACAGAGAGCAGTTTACTGACCAATAACTCACAACAGACATATTTTGACTGCAAATGCAGCATTGCCTGCAAAACTCTACTGGGGGGTTATGATTTAAAAAGCCCTTTTTTAAACAATTTACAAATGTTTTGTCACAAATGTCAACAAATACATCAGTTATAAATAAACAAAAACAGAATTGTTACGATGCATTGACTAAAATACAGAAATGTATTTGAAAAGATGGGTCTTTAAAGCAGATATAAAACATTGTCAAATTGTCACTGCAAAATGACACTCTTTCACAGTCGTATAACACTCAATTTATCCATACATTGTCTGCTGCCTATCTGAGGCAAGTGGTCTAGAAGGGAAACCATCTCGTTCCACTCTCCAGCCCATTTAGGGGGACCCCCCAAAAGCAAGGAGTTACACATATTTCCTCCCTATACAATTTCATGCCCAAAACAAGTCAAGAATGAAACAGACAAAAACTGCAAAGGCATAAAAAGATTAGGGACAGAAGACTGCCAACTAAGTTGTAAACCACGCAGGTATTGTTCGCTTCTTCTTAATTTATTTACATCCTAGGTACTAATTATTATACATAGAGGGGAATAAAATTCATCACCATACAATGAAACAAAGTTGTTTTTATCTGAACTGGAGGAAACTGATGCGATAGTATCTTCGCTGAAGTTTTTCATATAGGACGAAAGCAGCAGTGGTTAATTATTTAAAAAATAAATAAATAAATAGAAACATCAGCATGACTCATTGGTCAAGAAGCTCCTGAACTGCTTGCATTCAGTCTCCATGTTAACTAACTGTAGCAATAACCCAAAAACAAAAAAACACTGGTAGGATTCACTATTTCCATTAAATAGAAGAAAAAGCAGCATCACCAATTAGTTGCCTAGACCAAAGGATGTTTAATCCCAAGTTGTTGCTATGGAGATGGCCAATGCATCTCATTACTTGGTCATGGTGCAGGCAGTATATTTACTTCCAGCTATAAGTAAGCAGTTCTTTCACTCAACATAACCACTATTTGGAAAAACTGAATAGCTTCTATTGCCAAGTACAGCAGATACCATGCACCCTTGCTTGGTCAGCTGACGTCCATGCAGCCTCTCCTCCATTACAAGTAGGGCTGCAACTAATGATTATTTAGCAAATTGATTAATCTGTCGATTTTTTTTTCTTCGATAAATCGATTGATAATCGGATAGCAAAAGGTTCCTTAAAGAAGACTTTTTACTAAATTAAACCAGGTCAAACTAAAACTTTTCCAGTTCTGCATAGAGCATATTGACAAACAAAATGTGTTTTAAATCTAAAATGTTTACATATTTTCTTTTTTACAATTTTGGTCTAACTGCTGCTCAAGGTGGGTCGCTCTGTGAGCTAAAGACACGTTAGAGTCTCTACACTCCATTTAACGACTAATCGATTACTAAATTAGTTGACAATTATTTCAGTAATCGATTGATCATTACTAATCTCATTGTTTCAGCCCTTATTACAAGCTTCCTATAATCTTTAAAATCTTATCAAAGCGTATCCTAATATTATGGATAACAGAAAAAACTTTTCCTGTTGAGAACATCTACATAGACCCTTCTTTAAAATGGATATTTAAACATCAAAAAGAGAAGTTGTCTTCTTTTACTTAAGCAGAAAAATGTTATGGCTTCAATTAAAAAGTTTTGTAATACAATTGCACAGCTGGACAGTTTAGAAAAGTTATACTATAGTCATACTTTTGAAAGTAAAGCAGGTTTAGAACAAAATAAAGAGCTGAGACAAGAAGGAAGATTTATTTGTAGATGTTCAAAATGAATTACTTTCAGCAATATTCAATAATTTTCAATATTCAATAATCAATAATATTAAAATTCTGATTATTATCTATCCTCTTTTTTGGGACTATTTAAATACTGGTTAAAGCACTATACTGACATATGAGGAAAAAACAAAACAAAAACCTCCAACTGAAGAAAAAAAATTGAATCTTTTTGTCTTTTTCACATTAAATTAGCAGCCAAATGAATACAGTATTTAAAATCTGATTATTTTTACTCTGAGGCAGTAGTTCTCAACCCTAGTCCTTAAAGTTCATTGTCCTTTATATTTTAATCCATTTCTGCTCATGCACACCTGATTCAAACTGTTTCAGTATTTCCTCAAGATTGAAAGTGCACCAGAAGTAGGGGTGTAAATCACACCCATCATGGCGATTCGATTCAGTATCGATTTCCTAACCTAAGGATTCGATTATTTTCGATACTTAAGAATACACCACGATACAATTCGATTTGATTAATTTTTTTTTTTTACCTTACATGTTTCAAATTTCAAATTTGAAATAAATCAACGTCCCCGCCCCCTCTGCAGACGCTCAGCTGCACCTCTCCCAAATTGTAGCTGACCGCAGACAGTGTCGCAGACAGGAGGCCTGCTTGTTTTGTTTTTATGACCAAAATTGCGGAAAACAACTTGTGAAGTTTGAGCGCTAGAAGAGCGAGGTGCACAAGAACGCTGGGACTCTTTTTCCACCTGGATCTCCGCTCTTTTTGGCGCTCATGTCCCTCCGTCATCGGACTAAACTCGCCCCCACTTCCTAACTGCCTCGGCCGTATCTAGACCCACAGTGTGTAGCACAGACCAAGCTTCAATATTGAGTATAAATCAAAAATGTCTGTCAAGCTCACTGCAACAAACTGCTGTAAGAGTATAACCAGGAAGCGAGGTAGGAGGGCAAAATAGGTTTAGCGCCACCGCAGCAGAGGGGGGGAAGAATTACGTCCAGGGTCAAATGGATACAAATAGACCGGAGGGGGAAAAAAACGCATGAATCGATACTCTTGCGGACGTATCGATGCATCGGATCGTCGGCTGTTAGATCGATGCATCGATACAAAACGATTTATTATTTGTTTATGGCCCATTTATTTAGCTGCATAAAGCATGTAGGACCCGTGGGTCCTGAGGACCAGGATTGAGAACCATACAGTAGCTCTAAAGACTTCCAGGCACTTCAATGTTTCCAGACAGTCTTCAAAAACTCCTTTAACATCTCAGGTTATCTAATGTACAGCAAGTACAACCAAAGATGCTTTAACTTTAAAATGTATAACAACAAGTGTACTCTTTCTTCCCTTCCAGTCCATTAGTGAGTTAACCTGTAACAGAACTGCAGCTGCTTTGGGACTCAGTCACCCCAATATTAACCACCCAGTGTCTTTGGCCTTACCTGGCCTGAATACAGCCAAATTCCAGTGAAATCGATCATTACTAGACGACGGTGAAGCAATAAGCAAGAAAAGTACGCTTTTCTAATGCTCAGACAAACATAACCTTGGTTTATACGGCTACATTGCCATTAATTCCAAGCGGAACGCAAATAAATCATTGAAAAGGGAATTGCAGCACTGGAGAAGGAATTCGAAGTGAGCACATAGTGTGGAAGGCAGATAAGGCAGAGAAATAGAGAGAACTTTGCAGGAGTGAGCAGAGCTGGAGCTGAGTGAGTGATGTGCCCTCATGATAACAGAAAGAAAGGAGGCCATACTTCACCTCCAAAGTAAGTGAAGGGAAGTTATTAACTTGCTTGAGACAGATAACAGTGTTACCTTGGCCTCTAGATAAGTTGAATTACACTTTTTGAGGCATGGTCTCTCCTGGGCTTAATGGTCATTTTACTCAAAGATTAGTTCTGACTCAATCCTTTTATTCTCTTTTGTCTTTAAATACCTCTTCAGTATCTTTTTCGCTGAACTAAAATTAACTAAGTTGCAAAATAAAAGTCAGAAAGCCAATTTAATTCAGAAACTGCTATTTCTAATCTAATGTGGGCCAACTTTATAAGTAGAAGCTAAGGTGAAATGTTAATAAGTGTGGCCACGGTGGCCCACATCCAATACTAATACTTAGTGTATTTCAGCCATGCTGTGCAAATTCACTATAGGAAAAGGGGCCGTATCTCTGTAAGCCACAGATGTGCTGATTGTAGAAGTTGCTAACACTTGCGGTATTGTAGCAATGAAGCAGATTTAGGTTGCCATCTATGGCTTGTAGTGAGAGAAAGAATCACAGGCTGGAATAACACCAAAAAAATACTCTGTGATGAGATAGTGATGAGATCTGCTTTCGAGGACACCAGAAACAACTGTCCACATGTTTGTTTTTCCATAATTTCTTTCTCTAGATAAAACCTGCTCCAACTCAACTCCTCAGTAAAACCACAGTTTTCACATGTCCGCTAAAAAAGGAAAGTTTGGAGCTCTTGTTTGGCTAAGGATGAATCATCCCAAATTTTCCCCTTATTTGTAATATAAACATATCAAGTGTCAGTGCATGCTGTGTTTGTTTTGAAGTTGTTTAAAAATGAGAGCTTTATCTTCTTCTAACAGCACACTGCAGAAACAAGGATACAGAGCTTTGAAAAAGTATTCACACCCGTATAATGTTTTTATAATAAAATATAATTTAGAATATTTTTAGACCAGATCTACAAACGTCAACATATTGTATTAGAATTTGATAGATAAATAGTGGTGATAGTATCATAGT